AGTAGGCCTGCATTCACATATCCTTCAGGAGCCCGATCCAGGCTGAAGCAGCCCATGTTGGCATCCTACTGCTAGGCTGGCCCTCTTTCCTCCTTATCCCCCGGAACATCTGGCCTGAGCACCGAGCGTTAGGCCAGAGTCCCCGGCTGGGGCAGGTTTGGGGTGAGAGTTCCACCTTGTGTTTCTGGTCCCTAAGGGCTACAGCATCAGAGATACATATACGCATGCATCATACACGCCAACGGATACTACACACACACACACACATCATGCACACCAACAGATACACACACACTATCCACATGTTCGTTACACAATGCACCTGTCTGGAATGCTGTGTTCATGGTCATGAGCATGCTCCTGTCGCTGTCCCACATTCACAGGGGTTTTCCACCACTCCACGAGGAAGCCCACACCCACCACTAGTCATCGACTTCCTGCCTCTGGGCAGGGCTGCCGCTGCCCGCGCCTGGCAAGCCAGTCACAGAGGAGAACCGCTCCATGTGGTCTGCTTCGCGATCACCTTGAAGGCAGCACGTCACCTGGGCCTTTCTCCCTCGGAGGAGGCCTAGGGCTGCAGTACAAGTGGGGCTGCTGACTGCAAGGCCAGCAGTTTGAAACCACCTGCCAGTCCTCATGAGAAAGAAGAGGCTTTCCACTCCCGTCAGAGTAACAGTCTTGGAAGCCCACAGGGCAGCTCCACCCTGCCCTATGAGGTCACTGTAAGTTGGCATGGACTTGATGGCAGTGAGTTTGGTTTTGCATTTTCTTCTGAGGAGATGCTCGGTGGGTTTGAACCGCAATCTCCGGGTTTTCTGACCACTCAGGGCCTCTTCCTGCCCCTGTGCACTTGCAAAGTCTGTCCGTTTCATATAAACCCATCACCCACTGGGCACCTCTTGCCCTCAACAGGAGTGCCAGGCTCAGTCAAGATGGATGCAGCCTGATTGGGCCTTCAGCCCTTCTTGCTGCAGGGTACCCTGCTGCATGGATACAGGGGGATATAGGCCACTTTATTCACCGTCTATTCACCACCTAACGGACATGTGGGCTGTTTCTACTCGGAGTATTATGAACTATTGCTATGAACATTTTTATAGCACTTACTCACTGCCAGAGAGTTGATTCCGACCCATATTGACCCTATAGGTCAGGGTAGAACTAGCATTGGGGGTTTCTAAGGCTGTTTATGGGAGTAGAGAGCCCCATGTTTCCCTCATGGGAGCAGCTGGTGGGAAAGTAGTATTAAAAGATAATAGAATTGTTCCATGAACTTTTTGAAGCCCCAGTACAAGTCACTTTGAGGATTAAGGTGCACCTGACTGGAGCCATGGTATTCTCAATTGCCTCATATGCCTGTGAACACTGGACACTGAATTCACACGAAGAAGATGGATGCATTTGAACAGTGGTGCTGGTGAAGACGCCTGAAAGCAACATGGACTGCCAGAAGAACAAACAGACCTGTCTCAGAAGTGCAGCCAGAATGCTCCTTCGAGGCGTTGTCACACTACTTTGGACACGGTATCAGGAGATCAGTTCCTGGAGCAGGACATCGTGGTTGGTTGGTAAAGGGGGGCGGGCAGTGGAGAAGGAAGGCACTTGACAAGATGGATTGACACAGAGGAATATGTAACCCTTGTGAAGATGCACGGGAGCAGGCAGTGTTGGTTCTGCGGTACACGAGGTCCCTATGGATCTGAACAGGCCCGACAGCACCTACAGACCCGTATGTACTTTTGTGTCCGCTCCAAAAACGCTCACTGCTAGCAAGTGACCCTACAGGACAGGGCAGGGCTGCCCCTGTGGGTTTCTGGGACTGTAACTCCTTTTTTGGTTTTGTTTGGTTTTTTAAAAACCATTTATTGGGGGCTCGTCCAACTCTTACCACAATCCATCCATCCATCCATTGTGTCAAGCACATTTGTACATTTGTTGCCCTCATCATTCTCAAAACATTTGCTTTCTACTTGAGCCCTTGGCATCAGGGCCTCATTTTTTCCCCTCCCTCCCTCATGAACCCTTGATAATTTATTTTGTCATGTCTTACACTGTCCGGTATTGAGACTGTAACTCTTTACGGGAGTAGAAAACCCTGTCTTTCTCCCGTGGAGCAGCTGCTGGTTTTGAACCGCGGACCTCGAGGTTAGTGGCCCAAAGTGTAGCCACTACGCCCCCAGGGCTCTCATTTGTGTCAACACAAGGGTGGTTGTGTTTTTGGCTCTCTGTGGTGTTGAGAGGTAGGACTGCTAGGCCATCTGTTCATTCCAGAGGCTTCAGTACATAGGTTCCCACTGGGACTGCACCCTGTTACAACCCCACCAGGGATGGATGAGGGTTTTAACTCCTTCCTGTCCTCAACTGTCGTAGTGGGTGGGAGGGGCAGCTCATTATGGTTTAATCTGATACAACGTTGATACTGTGTTACAAGGAAGACCCACCACAGCATATGCACTCTGGAATCTCAGGGAGGGAGTGCAGTGCTGGCCTAAACAAAGGCCCATGCGCTCCTCCTTTTGAGTATTCAAGGCATTAGGCTGCTAAACCAAGGTCGGCAGTTCAAACAAATGCAGTCCCTCCGCCACGCAGGGTGGTTGTGACGACACTGAGCAACGTCTGCTTACTGCTCTTGTCCCCCGTTTGGATTCCCGGATCCCTTTTTCTTGGCCTGTGGGATTTCCCTTCTTTGGGCTCAGAAAACACCCAAGAGACTGAGCCCAGGGCTCCAGGGTTGCTTTGAGCCAGTAGTTCCGGGCCCCGTGGTCCGGTCCACTACACCTTTGGAAATGGAGGCCGGAAGTAAAAGCCTGCAGCTGCTTTGTTAGGGGAGGCTGTTGGGGGGCCAGGCCGGCTGTGTCCTGATGCTGGGTGACTGAGGGCGGCAGCCTGTCTCCAGCAGGGCCTCGCTTGGGGACCCCAGGGCAAAAGGAGGAGACAGTGGCATTGGGAGAGAGGCTGGAAATACTTGTGCCAGATCCGGAGTCTGGGTGTCCAGAATCTTCGAGATGCCAGACTTCTCAGAATAGAAGTTTCCGGACCAAGCTGTAAATACACACTCCCTGCCCACTGGAGAGTAGGCCTGCATTCACATATCCTTCAGGAGCCCGATCCAGGCTGAAGCAGCCCATGTTGGCATCCTACTGCTAGGCTGGCCCTCTTTCCTCCTTCTCCCCCGGAACATCTGGCCTGAGCACCAAGCTTTAGGCCAGAGTCCCCGGCTGGGGCAGGTTTGGGGTGAGAGTTCCACCTTGTGTTTCTGGTCCCTCAGGGTTGTTCTCACTGGGAGCCTGGATTAACAAAGGCACACGGGATCCAGCACTTCCAGGTTTGTTGGTTTTGTTGTTTCTGAACCAAGAGCTCCCAGAGCTGTGGGAAATGGAGATTGAAAATGAAATGCAACAGTAAGGTGAGGGCGTTTCTCACTCAGCTCAGAGTTCTGAGTGTTGGCTCAGAGAAGCCTGAACCGCCCTGCTGAGTCTTTAAAACAGCCTTTGGTTGCCTGTGAGCCGACTCCACCTAGTGGCGACTGCCCAGTGGCCGCCTCACGTAGGACGCAGTGGAAATGTGCTTCCCAAGATTGCAAAGGATGCAAGCTTTCCAGGAAAAGATCACCTGGCAGGCATTGGGGCGCCTCTGGGTGGACCACTCTGTGAGCAGCCAGGTGCATCTGCCGTTTCTCCCACCCGGGGGCTCTTCCATCTCTCCCAGGCCAATCAGAGAAGGATCGAAGTGCCCGCTTAGAAACAACTGAGCCTGAGCTCAGTTCCAGAGCTGAAGGGTGAAGGGCGCCGCCATCTCTCTGTTCCCCCATCTTGAGATGACCAGTAAACCCGGGCCTGTTTATCCTCTGGAGCTGTTCCACATTTCTCTCCCACTCTGCCCAGGACCTGGGGAGGGGAACCTTTCAGAGCAGTTGGCATGGGAGCTGGGCACCATCTAGGTCTTCTGGTCTCAGGGTTGTGGAGACTGCTGTTTGTGTGGTCCGTGAATCCAGTGGGCTGTTACCATTAGCTTTCGATTGGTCTTTCCTCCCAAGGGGGAGAGGTCAGTTAGTTTCATTGTGGGGACAGCAGTCAATGAGATGAAACGAAGTGGATATGGACTGTTAAAGGGAACATGGATCTGCTCCGTAACCTTCACTCAGTTCTCTCTCTTACACACTTACACACACACACACACACACACACACACACACACACACACACACGCAGCCTCTGAATCCTTTCAACCTGTGCTGAGGGTTGATCACTTGCAGGTGTGTTCTGTACACGGACCAGCAATGAAAAGACCTGCATGGCTGAAGGCAATGGCAGCGCTGACCAATGTCAAGGTGACTCGTGAGATGCTCCTGCCCCTCCCTCCCAGGGACCAGCGGGCGGCCTTTGCCACGTCACTTGGCATTCACTCTGCCATTTCCTTTCCTTCATAAAAGCAATCAG